TAAAATAATTATTATTATTTGAGAGTTTATTCTTAGTTAAGAGTTTGAAGATAATAATTTATTTATTTATAATACTTTTAAAAAGATAAAAAATAAAAAAAGATTTTTTGTGATTGGATAATTAATTAACTTGAATGGATAATGATAAGAGTAAAATAAGAAAAAAAATTGTTTACTTAAAAAATAAAAAAGTAAAAATTAATTTAAGACAAATTAAAATAAAAAAATAACAGTTATTTTGAGACTAAGAGAATAAGAATTTAGAACAACTTTTATTTTTACCTATTTTACCTTATAAAAAAATTAAAATAAAGTATTTTTTATGATATGATCGATAAAAAAATACTAATAAGGTTAATGTAAAAAGAATTTTTTTTTCTTAAAATATGAAAAATGATTAATAGTTTAACATAAGTTTTAAATAAAAAATATTTATTATTTTAAGATGATGCATTTGCAAAAGAAAAATCATAAGAGTTAAGGATTTTACCGTTTAGATTATTTTAAATTGTAAAATTAAAATTTTGAGATAGGGTGAACTTCTTGTGTTTAATAGTTAGTTTTTTTATAATTCAATATAATTTAAACTATAAAAAATATTTTTGAAATCTTTAATTTATTGATGATAAAGTTATTAAGAGTAATACAGATCTATAAATACTTGCAATATTTTTTTGTTAGAGGTGTTTAAGTTCAAATATTAAAATATGATAAGGTAGAGGAAGGTTATTCTCTTTTATAATTTATCATTAATCTTGTTAAGTGCAAGCTTAGTCTAGCTCTATATTGGTTTTCTTCTATCCTCATAATTCAGTTCATTGATTTTGATGATATGCGGCACTTCTTCGCTTGCATAAGTTTCACGTGTATCATATATCCCAGAAAAGTATGGCATCGCAAAGTGGCTATCACGCATTACACGGCAAATTTTCAATTAAGTTGTCTAATAAAAAAATACTGTTAAAATTTTATTTTGATGCTTTTTTTTTAATAAAAATTTTTTAAATCTTTTTATTTAAGAAATTTTTTTAAGGATTATCTGACTTTTTTTTAGTTTTTTCATTATTTTTTCTATACATGATACATTAGATGATAGAAATTTCAAAGTAAAAAAACAAAAAAAAAAAGATTTTCTGGCTTTACTTTTAAAAAAAATACCTTTGGTCCCTCTACTTAAAAAAATATTTTTTTAATCTTTTTATTTTATTCAATGTGTCATGTATGTAAAAAAAATAATAATAAAGAACTAAAAAAGAGTTAGATAATAAATTTTAAGAATTAAAAAAGAGTGTTTTTCAAGAAAATGGATACTTTTTTTTTATTAAAATAGAGAAACCAAAATGAGGTTTTAATAAAAAAAAAGGAAGATTAGGAAGCAGCAGATGGTAATGATGAACTCAAGTCATTGGCGGAAGAAGCAGCAAGCACCAATATGCAGGGTTGACTCAGAGGTTCAATGCATCCCCAGTTGAACCTCCATCTTCATTGCTTCCTGTCTTCTTCCTCCCATCTTCATTATTTTCTATTTTCTTCCTCCCATCTTCCTCTTCCCACTATAGGAAAAAGTTGTTATTTGTCAAGAAAAGGAGGCTCTTAATTATAACTAAAAAAGATTTTTGTTTGTTTGTTTTTTTTTTTTTTTTTAGATAACACATGCTTTGTATTTCATCTTGTGTTGACTGTAACATTAGCCCACGATCAGTTAGGCGATAGGCCCTGTTAATCATGGGACTGAAGTGTTTGTAATTCATGCATAATAAATAGTAAAATATTAATCTTTAAATTATAATTACTATTACCAGTACCATAAATAAATATAAGGGAAAATCAAGATATACTAACATTTAAATATAAAGATTGTCTATAAAATTATTCAAATATTTTCAATAAATCTTCCTTATATATATGTTGATCATTAGAGCATTTAACTCTTTCCATTATTATTCTTAATATCTTAATTGTCAAAACATCTCAATTGTCTTAAATATAATAATAATAATAATAATAATAATAAAAGGCAATTTGATTATGAAATCATATTAAAGACAGAAATTTTCCAAGTACCTACTTGTTCATTGGCCATATACACAAATTTCTTCTTCCCTCTTTCACAAATATCTATAATCAACTCATTAAAGTGGAAAGCACTTTCACTTTTTCCATTTTATACTAACTTTATCATTAACTTGAAGAAGAGCATAATTTCCTCTGCCAGGGCTTGTGCTTTTGTACCTATAGATTCGAGATTTGTGTGAACTATTGGTTTCAAAGTCACATCTCAAGATCAAGAATATCAAGATTGCCAAAAAGACAATTCTTCCCTCCAAACAGCTGCATGAAAACAATTCTTTCGATGGAGAACCATTTAACAACCTAAAGTGAAACCAAATGAGTTTCAATAATAGAGAACAAGTCAACATGTTCTACATACATAAAAGTGAATTACATACATATAAGTGAATTAATGTCATCTATAGAGTTGGAAATCCATTCAAGATGTGGGAAGCACTGTTCTTGAGTGTATCCATAGGACCATTTGATACAAAAGATTCTTAAGTAATGGATTTTTACATTATGAAGGTTTTGAAGTTTGTTTCTATTGTGACACTAAAAGGAATTTCTATTGTTACTTATTTGATGGGGATGAAAAAGGTGTTTCCGAAGGGGACCCAGAAATTTAAGACAGTCAAAGAGACTAGGAAAATAATGGAGTTTAATGGGCATCAAATGATTGCAATGCCTACGTTGGCAAAGAACAAAGATGGAGGAATCAACTTCTACAGTTTGGTGCATAGATTTGCTTGTCACCTAGGAAGCTGAGTTTGTTGCATAATTTGCTTGTAGTGTGACTCAATAAGCTTCTTTAAGGAACAAATTAAAACATGAGACTTACGTTATAAGTAAATAATATCTCAAGGAAGATTATAGACTCAAACTCAGAAATCTTTACTTCTGAGGAGATTACTACCAAAACATTAGGCAATTCATGCCACAAACACAATTCTACTTTCTTATGCATAGAAAAAAGGATAGAGATATGATACTTAATTATACCCTAAACAAGAAAAAATCTCAATAAGTGGGTAGGGTTAGAAAAGTGAAATTCCACTTCTTTCTATTACATTGTATATATCAGCCTTTGTTCATGTTTCTGGATTCCTTGCCCATACTATTGGTCACAAATTAAAGAGAAAAATTCACCCCAAGCAATTCTTGTTATTCTTTCACAATCGTGCATAATTCAACTTCTCTAAGTTATTGAGGGTTATGGGCATATGGGTCGGGCTAAACTATAAGGAAAGTGAAGGATACAAACACAACATCACGTATGCAAACCAATGAAATATTCCCTATCTCATGATTGTCAAGTGCCGGCCACTAGTTCGACTTAACTCTACTATTTTATTAGGATGCCCTAAATCATCCTCATCTCTTTCCTCTCTATAGCTCTAAACCAAACACTACTCTTTCAATCCTTTTAAGCAGTTTCATTTTTTAAGGTCTGACCTTTTATGTGGTGAATTTGGTTCAATAATTTTGTTATCTTTTAGCAATTTTGCATCCCATCATTGTAGTGCTGCGGAGTCATCCACCTTACATTTGGTTGGATTTTATCCCTCCTAACTACAGATTCTGCATAATGTTTATACTAGATATCTATTCTGCTGGTGTGCGATAATGATTAATCATGGCAAGAGACAAAATACACCTCTCATGTGTATTTAAAAATCATTTAAACTTTTTCAAAA